CGGACCTTAAACTACAATGATTTCCAGATGAATTAAATTTTAAATATTAATAATGAAGTATTATGAGATTTGATTATGTAAATGTTTGAACTTTCTGATACTTCATATGTAAAGAGCATGTACAAATCAGTAAGAAAGACAATATTTCAACTTTTTAAATGGGCAAAAGATATAGACAGAAAAAGCACAAAAGAATTATAAAGGAAAATAAATAAAAGCTCTGACATCACTATTGATTTTTTAAAAACATCAACAAACAATAATGAGGGTTTTGGGGGTTTTTTTGACTTGTAAGATTTGTAAGGATTAAAAAGAATGCTAACACCCAGGGTTAAGTAAAGTGTGAAACGGTCCAAAGGGAGCTGTCATGGGACAACAGTTAATATATCTTTTTAGAGAGCAAACTGTGCCTACCTTTTTATCTATCAATTCTAGGTACATATGCAAGAAAACACTCATATAGTATAAAGTGATGTACATACAAGGATATTGCTTCCTATGCTGCTGATCAATTTACTGCCTCTTAGATCCAAGTTCACCCTTCTTTGGCTGCTCTGTGAAAATGGATCTGGGTCCTTGAAATATTTTTCCCTTTACCAGCTTTGTCAGCAGAAGGGACTGCAGAGACACTGCAGGAGGAAACAGTTCTTGCTTCCTGGCTCCAGCCTGTCCTTGTGACAGGCTCGTGCAGGCTTACAGTTTCTCCAGTGTCCAGCTCCTTCAGTGTCCAGCACCCAGCGACAACCCAAGCCAGCCACTTCTCCCAACACACCCTCTCCTTGGGCAGTTTTACAACAGAGTGCCTGCAGTTAGAACAGTATTCCCTGGTCCCCTAAGGACAGATCTCCAGGAAGATCCACCAGCGGGGCGCCCCAGTGACTTCTCTGAAATCCACTGGACTCCCAGCTGTGATCTGGACCTCAGCCCTGGGGGCATGAGATGCTGCCTTGGGTGCCCCATCTCAGCACAAGAGTTAGTGACTGCACCTGCTACCTGCTACTTCTGTCTCTTTACTTCTTGCTAGGTAATCCCTCATTACTCTAACGACCTATTATAGTTAGTAATTCTGTATATTAAATTTTCCAACTTGAAATTTTTTTCTCCAGATTGGACCCAGGCTGACACATTTATAATAGTGAAGAATTGGAAACAACGTAATAATGCCCAGACTCAGTGATTTGTTTAAAAACAGAGTACAGCCTCATAGTAAAACACTATATTGGCCATGAAAAATGATATTGCATGTGTATACTTTGATTTCAAAAGAAATTTGATATGCTATTAAGTAAAAAAAAGCAGAATACAAAACAATGTATAGTAAAATAGCATTTTTGTTTTAAAAAATGTGTCACTTTCCTAGATTTTAAAACTTTAAAAAGAACTCAAGTTACTCAAGATCTTTAAATTTTGATTTCTTTCTTTTTTTTTTTGAATTGGGCAGTCTCAATCTCTTTGTAACTACTTTTTTCCTTTGCTTTCATGTGCACTGGAAAGAACACTCTGAGGCTGAGTCCATAACTCTTTCCACCAAGCATTCTGCCAGATGAGGGTAACATGACATTTGTGGCTTCACTTGTTGATGGGGTTTTTTAAATGACTGTTTCACATGAAGGCATATCTACAAAAGCAGAAATCACAAAGGTCTTCTTGCCCAAGATCATATTAACATTTCCTTATACATTTTTTCCTCGTCTTTTTATGGAATTAAGCCATCACACTTAACTTGTTAATTCATCTGGAATTTATTTAGACTAATGGTGTGAGGTAAGGACCTCTTAGTAACATTTTTTGACACTCCATACTTTTTTTAACTATACAAATGACCTGGTGTCTCTAGGGATCATTCCAAGGGACCATTTTATAGCAAAATCACTTTATAATGAGGTCCTTTTGGTCTTTAGTAACAACTTCTTGGAGGGCCTCCAAGAGAAATCTATCATCAACCTAGTGCTGCTACAGGATGACCAATGTTCCAGTAAAATTCCAAATGCATCCCCAAAATAATCTATATATAGGACTGAGGGTCAAGTATCAATGTGAATTAAAAGGTAAAACAATATAAAAAGTGAAAAGGAAATTCCTTTATGGTTTTAAACTAGGAAAAAAAATCATTCAAGTCCTGATGCTGATTCACCTAATACAGACATGAATTATGAGTGAAAAATATCTACGTTACACTCTTTTCTCTTAATGATGACTCATTATCTGACTTAACTACCTAAAGGTTATCTTGCTAATGCAAAACAGAAAGAAGACGAAAAATTCTGCCCTACTTAAATCATTTCCATAAGAACTTGGCACCTCTTCACTATGTTTAGGTGCCACAATAAATTTTCATCCCATAGTTCAAAACCACAGAAGGTCCAGATAACAGAGATGCTGTGGATTTAATAGTAAACATATTGATGACTTGAACTGCTACAAGTCTTAAGGTAGCACTTCTAAGGGGAGGCAGTATGGTCATCTTAGAGGCAATGAACAAAATAGAATGCAGCGACTTGCAAAAATATAAATGATTATCAAGACCTGTGCAGGCAGTGATCCAGAACCATGTAAAACTACTATGATGTCATAATGGCAGCTCATTATTAAATCTCCTCTACCTTTTCTATAACCCAAGGCATTATGGTATCACAATAGATCATCTGCAATATATCACACTCTATTAATCATTCTTCAATTTTACGATGCTGTTAACTTTAAAAAAAAAAATGAATGACCATTGTGCTACACAGAATAATGGCCCCCCAAACACGTCCACATCCTCATCCCAGGAATCTGTGAAAACATGACCTTACATGGCGAAAGAAACTTTGCAGATATAATTAAGGTTAAGGAATTTGAGATGGGAGATTATTCTGGATTGTACAAGTGGGCCCCATGTAATCACATGCGTCTTTAGAACAGAGAATCTTTCCCAGCTGTGATCAGAGGGAGCTAGGAAGAAGGGTTAGAGAGGCCACTTGCTAGCATCAAAGACTGAAGAACGGGTCCATGAGCCAAGGGATGTGGGCAGCCTCTACACGCTGGAAAAGGCAAGGGAATGAATTGCCCCCAGAGCCTCCAAAAGAGAACCTAGCCCTGCCAACACCTTGATCTGTATTGTAACATTACAATACACTTATTGTTATAATATTCATTATTGTAACTGTATTGCCCAATAAGATCTGTATTGAACTTCTGACCTACAGAGCTGTAAGACACTAAATTCGCATTTTAAGTCACTAAGTCTATGCTAATTTATTCTAGCAGCAATAGAAAACGAATAATTTTTGGAAAACCCCTGTGGAACAGTTAGGTGTTTAAATGTTTCCTATCTTAAGACCTTCAGTAAAACCACCTTCTAATTAAATATTATGTAACTGTAGGAGGACGACCTGGTGGCTGTAGCTTAAACATAACAGGACAGTCATCATAATGTATTCTTGCCACAAATAACAAACTTGACTCTGATCAAGCCACTAGATCTAACTACCAATTTACAGAAAATTCATGGGACAGAGAAATACGTTAAACAATACATGAGGCTACAAACAGAAGGTCCAGATGGTTGGAAACTACAGGGCAAATGATCTTGTTTCCTCCAAAGAGAACACTGCAAAGAAAAAGGAGCTGGCAAAGGCACTTATCTATCAAAGAAACTTCAGGGACACATCGATTAGTTGTAATGTACACACCATATCCAGATCCGGAACTGAACAACTTAATAAAAACCCACCATGGGACAAGCAGGGGAACCTGAACACTCATCAGATACTCGATTATATTAAGGAATTACTGTCAACTTGGTCATTACAGCCTTGTGGTTTTGGTTTTTTTTTTTAAAAAACAGTCCTTATCTTTTACAAACATACTTTAGAGATTACATTCTCGAATATTCACCAGGGAAAGGATATCATGTCTAGGATTTGCTTCAAAAAATAATCCAGGGATGGGGAGATGGGCTGACACAGAGATGAAACCAGACTGGCCACGAGATGATGATTGCTGAAGCAACTGATGGGTGAGGTGCAATCATTATTGTACTTTCTCCACTGTCATGTGCTTGAAATTGTCAGCAGCAGAAAGTTACCAACATTTTAACAATAAAACCAAGGGACATTCCTAAGAGCTGCCACCTCAGACCCTTTAAACTAGGAAAAAAAAATCATTCAAGTCCTGATGCTGATTCACCTAATACAGACGTGAATTATGAGTGAAAAATATCTACGTTACACTCTTTTCTCTTAATGATGACTCATTATCATGGAGACCCCCAAGGGCTGGGGTTGTGTCTTTTCTTAGGTTCTCGTCCCGGTTCTGAACCCAGCTGGTGGGACAGAGCAAGCACTTAAAAAATGTGTTTACACCACGGAATGACTGCAGACTCTAGGTTTGCAGAAGGAAGAAATGCAGTCCCTGCGACACATACACAGAAGGGCCTCCGGTCAACACCAGATGGCCTCTGAGTTCAGGCAGTAGGAAGAGCAGCTGATGCCGTGGTGTTCGGTGCCGAAGAGAAGCAATGGAAATTCTCCCATCTGACACACAGAAGGGGCTCTCCCTGGATACGGGGAAGCAAGGAACGGACGAGGAAAGCTGAGGTCAAGCGGGGGGAAGTTAATCATTACCTTGGAAAGACTCTTAGAGCAAGTCTTAAGAACAGGTACTTTTGTTTTTAGATTTTGGGGGAAGGAACCCCAGATGAGGTGACAGCTACAGGAAGGCGTATCTTCAGAGAGAGTCGTCTGTGAAGTTACGACTGCACGGGTCCAAAGATGAGCTGCAAAGAAGGGCCAGCATAAGGTGCAGCCTGGCCGGCCACCCGCCCCACAGCCGTTTCAGAGACCTGAGGAAGCAGAAACCCAGAACTAAGGCACCACTTTCCGCTACTAGAAAGGATGTCTACAGACTATGGTAAGGAAAGACGGAGCTAAGTAAGAAGCCCCAGCAACAAGAGATGTCCCGAGGAAACTCAGGGTGACACTCACACCTTCTCCAAGGCTCGTCGTCTGACTGAGACAAGGGTCTGTGCTCACCACAAACCCACCTTCCTTCCTTTTATCTCAGGGATGTTTAAGGTGATCCAGTTACTGTCATCACCTCGCCCATCTTCAGCTGAATGTCCATTTGTGCCTCAAAGTATGGCTTAAGCGGCCCAGAAGCTGAGACCGACAAACTGGCTGCGACCAGGGCTGCCTTCCAGGTCGGGAAGGGAAGGCATTCACTGCCTCGAGTCTAAGCTCTACCGGTGAGCCATTACCTGAGGATGGTTTTCAAAGTGTTCTCTAAGGGTCAACGGAAGTACAGAAAGGCTAACAGACTCCACGGGCAGAAGGCAGTGAGAAATGACCCTTCGGGGCTCTGTATTTTTTTCTAGCGCAGGACCTGGCAACGAAGCAGAGCTGTGCCAACCTCCGCACGGCACCAAGGCACCTGAGCAGAGAAAAGGTCAGTCGGGGTTTCGTGTAAAGATGACTTTCGTTTCTGTGTTTATCCCTGAAAACCAGAATAAACCCTCCTGCTAGGGAGGCGGCAGGGACAGCGCCTTTGGAAACACAAAGGTGAGAGCAGAGAAACATACTGACCTGCAGTACGTGCCACCGCCCCCCCTCCACCCGCCCGCACCCCCAGAGGCCGGCATCTCCCCACTCCGGAAGGTGTTTCTCCAAACGAAGCCCCTTCTCAGGGACAGGGAGACTTTTCCTGACTGAAAACAGCTTTTCTGGGCAAAAAGCAACAATGCCAGAAAATTCCTAAGTATTAGCTAGCCAGACATTCCTTTCAGGAGCCATGAATCCTGCAGAATAAAGCACTGCGAGTGAAAGGCTGGGCTGAGTGCGAAGCGACACTGCTCTTAACTTCTTCACTTTGCTTCAGACACGACATGGGGCCGAGTCCGCAGAATTAGAGACACGGGAGGCTCACTGTTTCATTTCATCCACAATTTCACTGTGGAAAGGGAGTTTAAGATAGAGTTAGACTTCCACCTCTGGGCAAGATGAACTGACAGGGACCAGGTTTACTTCCAGCCTGAAACAACTGGACAACAAAACACAACATAGAACTACAGGCAAAATATACAGAACACCAATTTCAAGATGCGGACATCAGGAAATGAAGGTCAGCACTCCCTGAGAGCTGTGTAACTAATGACACGAGCTCTCTGACTGCCCCAGATCATCCCCCTGAAAGGGTTCCCGGGCCATGGTGGGGAAGGTGGACCCCAGGTAGGGCCCAGCAGCCTCCCTGAGCTGAGAAGAATCCAAGTAGGTCCAGGTAGCCAGAGTAGGTAGCACACAGTGCCGGAGAGGAGAGAGCAGCCCAGGAGATCTGCACGGGGTCCACCTGGAGACCCCAGCTGAGTGCTGATCAGGGCATGGGTGTGCGGAAACTAAACAAGGCTCAGTAAAGAACCACCCGAAAGGGTTCGAGGGAA